GAGGATTTTACGCACAACGAGTAAAAGACTGTTTCGCATGTGGACCTTTTCATCGTGCGACCGATTACCTACCGCTACTTACGCCGCTACTACCTAGAGCGAGCTGCACGGCTCACTTTTCGGCGGCTGCCTGCGTATGACTGTGATGGGAAAGGTCGATCGTACGGCGGCCTGTCAAAGGGAGGTGGCTCCCATCTGGTCTCATGTAGCTGGCTACGTCGGTACTCCGCTGAATACATCGAACATAGGAGAGCAAGGAAGATGCGAGGCATTACGCACACGCACGCAACGAGGGCCACGGCGACGCGCCCGCACGCCACGCACGCACGCACGGCAGCGGCACGCACGGCACGCAGCGCACCACACACACACACAGCTACACACCACCACGCGCACGGACACGCATGTGTTATTGATGTTTGATCGAGTTAGCTCTATTCGTGTATACGCATCTACATATCACAGTCTTTAGCTGCGGCTGAGCTTGGTTTTATCCTCTGATAACAGGCAGACGACGACACTTCATTATTTCATGTGGCGTCTTAGACGCGTCGCGTTTGGCGGGGCAGGTGAAGAGCAGCGGCTTTTTTCCGCCTAACAAACGCTAAAAACACACTACAATGAAGGCGGGCTATACGCAAACAAACGGCATGGCGATGCCTTCTACGCCTTCTGGGGCTTAAAAATGAGGCGGATTGAGCTATCTGGGCCAGCTTCCCCCATCGGCAAAGATGCCGCAGTTCGCCAGAGAGCAATCCCAGCGACTACAGCTCCACGAGGGTGTCGGCTACGCATGAGGCATCGGTTAATAGCTTGAGTAACTGTGGCAAGTTCAGAGGCAAAACTGAATGGAGTGTTGCTTGCTCCCAGTTAGAGCTGTAGCAGGCTTTATATACGGATCTAAGAAGCGTATAGTGATAACTGCGTGCATTAAAGACTTCTGTCTAAGCGAGCGATGCACAGAGCTTGTGTTGGCATGCATGGTTGTGGCGCAGTCAGGTCACGCAATGAATGCAGCTGCGCCAGATCACTCGTCACATGTTATAGGCCTACCCTAACAAGTGCAGTGCACGTTACTTGCACCGAGAGGGGTCAGTGCACCTGGAATGCTGCTTGGACAGACCGTACGAGATGGTATTAGGCTGGCTTCAGTGATTCTGGCCCCATGGAATCGCTACTGGTGACCAGAGGGTTGCTGGTGGGTCCCAATATCCGCTATGCATGGAGGCGAACTGATACATATAGCTTAGGATCCTACGGAGAGCACGAGATGCCTGGCGGGCCTTCTCGGCCTGAGGCTAAATCAGGCATTCATGGTAGGCCTTAAATAATTTCCTGAAATAGAAAATGAAGATAGATGTGAATAGTGCGATGGTTGTGGAATGAACGCGTCACAACCGTGCTTAACTTTAATAACTTTAATAATTTTATTTTAATACTTTATATACAAATGCATGTATATTCGAAGCATCACCGCACCTTGGACAAATAACATGGATACTTTGTGTGCATGCTGTTCTAACAGCAAAATTTTATAAAAAGAGAACCGTAGTTTCGGGCGCGGCAGGCCTCAGTTTAAGTGGTGGCATGATTGTGGCGGATAGCAACACAGATCATTCGACTGACTGTGAATACTCCGTGTCACTGAAGATCTTTAGGCCGAGCGGGAATTGAGCATAGAATAGTTTCAGCTGAAATGGGAATGTTATAGAAGAAAGTTTTCTGCGACCTTGCTTCAACTATCGGCATATTCGGCTGAAAGGCCTTCTGTTTGCTGGTTGGCTCTTTGTTGGGTGCACTAGGGTGCCTATATACAGCGAGTTGGCGCATGACGAAGTCGGAAAACTATCGGTGCAGCGTGGTCGCTGGATCGACATGTTGTTTCCAAATGATACGGCACGGGCTATGGCCGTAAGAAAGTGTACAATTAAATTATCATATGGCGCGATACAATTGAGTTACGCTATTTCTAGAAATCTGAGATACAACATAGAGCACATGTCTTAGCTATAACTGCTTCTGTAAATTTTGAGTTTAAATTGAAGCACGATTAGTCTAATTAATTAGCTACGGAGCGATTGTACAGCGTAGGGCCTATGCCATGACAGCGCTGTACTTAAGCGGCAGGCGGTGTGGATCTATTTGGAGAAACAACATGGCGTCAAATCGCTGAGTTGGCGCAAACTCTCCTGTATCACAGGACGCTAGGTGGCACCGCAGCGTAGTGGTTGCAACGGTCTGTTGTCTTGGTCGTAAGCTGCTCATGTCCCTGAAAGCGAAGCGCTGCTTGTGCGGTTGGCTTTCGACTCCGTGGGTTGTCTGTTGTGATTGCGGCGGGGCAGGGAGAATCAGCAGATGGCGACTCGTTCGCTGCTTAGTCGACTTCGTCTGTGCTTCGACGATGTAAGATCCCATTTTTCACATTTTTACATTTTTCACATTTTTTTTCTTCACATTTTTTTCACATTTTTTCACATTTTTTTTTCACATTTTTCACATTTAAGATCACATCACATTTTTTAATGACGGTTGCCGGTGCCCATCTTCCGGTCGTGCGGTGCTGGGTGCACACCTGCTGTCCCGCTAGAAACAGTGGTCGCTCTGAACATGGGGGCGTCCCGCCCTAAAAGAAAGTGAGCAAGTCCTGATCCCTGCCTCGTTGCAACGTTATGTACTCACGGCGTTGCAGGCTGACGCTACCAAGGGCGGGATAAGTGGGCCGTCCTGAAGAGACAAGGCCAGCGTGTACTGTGGACTGGAATAGCTTTCGAGCATTGAGTCGGCTTTAGCTGGCAAATTGTGAGCATTTGTCAGCAAGAACAACGCCCCTATCACAGAAGGGAGGCCGTTTGCCTGGCAGAAAGACATTCCGCCCATGCCATGGGCAAGCAGCTCAGAGTGCTGACGTCTTTGAGTTGGATTGGAGAGGATAGGCTCAAGCTGGTTAGGGGCAGATGCAATACAGGCCAAATTCCCGCATTTCGTCGCGTTCAAGTGGTAAGTCGTGCACGTTAGGGAAGGCGGCCGTCATTGTTTAAATAACAAGTGCCGCAGAGGCGACAGCGCTGCGACTGACCGGTGTACTGTAGCCGGGTATTTTTCTGATAAACTGCACTGCACCGAATCAAGTGCGCCTCCGCGCCAGCCTGCGTTCGCGCTCAGAGGCATTATATGTAGGATACTACTAATACAGATCTAAAATGCTATGATAGGCTTTGCTAATACCGGTAGTAGGCAGTGAATAAAGATACAGTTGTATAACTTTTAATGAGCTTCAGCTATATTAAGCATGTTATCGCATGGATATGCGTCGAGCGCGAGCGTAGTGGTGGTGGTGGGAGGGAGGGGGGAGGGGAGGAGGGCGGGGTGGAGGCTGGTCTAGTAGCAAAAGCAGTTCAGTCCTTTGTTTAAGCAGTCATACTAAATCGCGTGTTTAACCCTTCCTCTTCGAGGGTCAAAAGGTTATCAAACACTTACTCTTGCGGACGTCAAGGCGAAAAGCAAGATTTCGCATGGTCGCTTTCAATAAAGTGATAAAAATGGTAGGTCAGCAGCTGAAACAAAAAAAGTTTTCACTCGATGCGCGTTTAGACCATGTCCTCAGAAAATGTGCCT